TATTTAAAAAAAAACAACTTGATAATTAAAATTCAGTCGAGAAAGGCGAATAATAACAACTTCATTTCTTTTACAGTTCTTTTCTAATATTCTTTATGTTTTTCTTGTTTTTAGCTCTTTCATTCAATCAACCAAAGTTTTGTTCAGAAGCTGTTTGGTATTCCAATGGAACTACCTTCGCTAATCAATCGATTGTTGGCCGAACTCCTCGCGCCATTTTCGTAAACACAAACAACAGAATCTATGTTGCTAATCAACGAAATAACACAATTTTAATGTGGGAAGAAGAGAGTGTCAATCCAACAAACATCATTTCTGGTAATTTTACAGCACCTCGTTCTCTCTTCGTGACATTGAATGATGATATTTATATTGATGATGGATATGAGAATGGTCGAGTGCAGAAATGGAGTGCAGAAACAAATAACTTTGCCACGGTGATGAATGTCAAGTCATCCTGTTTTGGTTTGTTTATCGATATCAATGATACACTTTACTGTTCAATGTCGAGTCATAATCAAGTAGTGAAAAGATCATTAAATGATGCTGCGATGACTTCAAATCGTGTTGCCGCTGGAACAGGTATCGAAGGATCAGCCTCGAACCAACTCGATGGTCCACGTGGAATCTTTGTGGATGTGAATTTGGATTTATATGTGGCAGATTGTTATAATGATCGAGTTCAATTATTTCACTCAGGAGAATCAAAGGGTATCACGGTAGCTGGAAGTGGATCACTAAATCCAATAATTACACTTCGTCGTCCAACTGGAATTATATTAGATGCTGAGAAATATTTATTTATTGTGGATCAACACAATAATCGAATTGTTGCATCAAACTCAAATGGTTTTCGATGTTTAGTTGGATGTTATGGACAGGGTTCACAGTCTCATCAATTGGGTAATCCATCTAGTATGAGTTTCGATCATTCTGGAAACATATTTGTTGTTGATCATCACAATTCTCGAATTCAAAAATTTTTATTGATGAAAGATTCTTTTGGTAAGTTGAAGAAAAGTTGAATGAAATTGAAGAGATGTGAATAGGTAAGTAGTAGAAGTTAATAAAAATATTTCAATATAAAAAACGAAGGAAAACAAAAATGATTGAGAAAGATCAATTAAACCAATGTGTAAAAGAATGTGTCTAAGGAAATGAAACGTTCAGATTAGATAGAATTATATATCAATCGTCTAAGACAAACAATCTTGGCCTTTTTCTATAGATTAAAAAATAGAGAACGAAAAAGTTGTGTCCTTAATGTAATGGTGGAAAAGGCTTTCATGTTTTAAATAAGATTTTATCAACGAAACAACTCTTATCGAAACGAAATCTGTGCATATCTTTGTCGATATAGTTTTAATATAAATTATCCTATGGTTTGATTTCATATTTTACATTTCGACATGTCCGATTCAAGAAAAATAAGACAATTAAAATATCACAATTCTAAATACTAATTTTTCTTTTTTTTATGCAAAACGAATTTAGTCATTGTTTCCCTTTTGAGAGAGATAAATTTCAATATGAAATATTATAAAATGAATTTTCTCATAAAGAAATATTTGATTGATGATTTGTTCTTTCGATAGTTATTATAATATTTAATTGGAGAAAATAATATTGAATAGTTGAAGGAAATCTAAAATACGATATATGTAATTACGAGTAAGAGATATTTATGTTATTGTTTCTATAATTGTAAACAAAGAGTATTTACTATAAAAGAAACGAGTTATTTATCTGATAAAACAGGCCAAAATCTAATGATTTAATTTTCAACAAAAATATTTATTTATTTGATCAAATTCATTTATTTAAGATGATCATATAATTAGAAAAATTGATTTTCAATCAAATCTAGTTTAGATTGCTCTGAAATGAAAACTTTACTTAAGTTAATTAACAAAGTTTTGTTTACATTTCTAAACTTCAATAAGAAAAAGGTTTTCTTATTGATAAAAGATTTGTAAGTTGTATAAACATTTATTTTACTCTTTCTTAAAGATGTGTAGTTAATAATTGCTTTTGTTGTAGGGGATCTATTATTTCTTTCCATATGAAAATTAAAGTTTCGTGTTTTATTCTTTATATCATAAGAAAAACATTGAAATCTACAACATATTATTAAGATTAGAAAAAAAGATTTGTTTTATTTATATTGAACAAAAACGAAATATAGTGATCTTTGATAAATCTTCGAAGAATGTCTATAAAGAGAAAAAAAGAACTCTTGCGGACCATAAAAAATCGTGTTTTTTCGGCTTACCATACTCTCGCCAATAAGACTTTCGCCAACTGGCACTCTCGCCAATGGCGAAAGTCCACCGTACTTTCGCCATGAATACTTGAGACTTTCGCCAATTGGCGAGAATCCACTGTACTTTCGCCATGAATACTTGAGACTTTCGCCAATACACCCTGTGGACTTTCATCAATTGGCAAAAATCCACAAAACTGTGATCAGTAAAAATCGCTCATACATGAAAAAAATCTTCATTAACTATCATAAATAGAAGCAAGAAGATGTATCAGCTCATCTTCAGTCTTACCATAGAATATTTAATAATATTCTTAAATAAGAAATAGTAGAATTTTAATAAAATTTTCCAGTAGGACTGAGAACTTTGGCCAATTGGCGAATGTCCACTGTACTTTCGCCATGAATACTTGAGACTTTCGCCAATTGGCGAATGTCCACTGTATTTTCGCCAATACACCCGGTGGACTTTCGTCAATTGGCCAAAGTCCACGGTACTTTCGCCAATATATTTCTGGACTTTCGCCATTGGCGAATGTCCAGTTGACGAAAGTCTTATTGGCGAGAGTACGGAATCCCGTTTTTTCTATCAATTTTTTTTTCAATCGATACCGATATGACGTGTAGTGACATTATTTTCTATTTCGTAATGAAATTTACTAAGATAAATCGAGTTATACTCCTAATAATATAGACAACTGAGATAACATAGGGACACTTATTGTTTCTCTTTAATTTCTTTTCTGAATTAACTTTGAATATTTATTAGAAAAAAGTTTGAGATACTTTGAATAAATGTTTGAAAATTGAAATTTATGCTTGAATAAATATTTCAAAAAAACGATCTACAATGACATATTTGCAAAACTATATTTAAAAAAAAACAACTTGATAATTAAAATTCAGTCGAGAAAGGCGAATAATAACAACTTCATTTCTTTTACAGTTCTTTTCTAATATTCTTTATGTTTTTCTTGTTTTTAGCTCTTTCATTCAATCAACCAAAGTTTTGTTCAGAAGCTGTTTGGTATTCCAATGGAACTACCTTCGCTAATCAATCGATTGTTGGCCGAACTCCTCGCGCCATTTT